TTCAAAGAGGATAACAGTTTCAGGGCATGTAGGTGTGTTCTGTCTTCTGTCTTCTCCCTTGTGCCAGGGCCTGCTTCCAAATGGGAAGCCTGGCCCTTTGTATGGCTCTCTCTCTCTCTGAAAAAATCTTCTTTCTCCCATATGAAGCCTAGACCTGAGGCTGCAAACCCAATTTAAAAAGGCCTGTGTGACAGCTCTGGGCACTGTGAGGAAACTCTCTCATACTCACAGCCTCTTATTTCCTCTTCTTCCCATGCTGGAGGATGTATTCTGGGCTGTCTTCTTGGACTGGCTAGAAATGATACACTTCAACTTGTAATCAGGGTTTCAGACCAGTGATTTCCAGTCACTGCCCTATAGGCCTATCATGAATAAGCTGGTCTATATGAAAGAAAGAAGAGAGGGAGGAGAAGGAAGAGAAGAGGGGGGGAGAGGAGAGGGGGAAGAGGGAAGAAAGAGAGAGAAGAAAAGAAGACATTTAGGAGCTCATTAGAAAATACAGGTGCCTGCGTCCCACCCTAAACCTACCAAATCTTAGACAGGCCAGGCCCAGCCACGTGCATCATTAAAGCTGCCCAGGTGATGCTGAGCTCCAGGTAGCTTTGAGAGTTGTCGTTCTAGACTGGTTCTAGGATCGGAAAAAAAGAGCTCTGCACCTAAGTTAATCCTCAGATTTGAATTCTCCTTTGGGCTTTGGGACTCAAGCTCAAACTAATCAAAACTTTTTCTTCACTCCCGTGATGCCTACAGCTCCCTCTGGGATAGGGTTGGAAGACTGATTTTCAGATAAAAAAAACAATTATTTTTTTGTTAGTGTGACACTATTCATTGCCCAGAATTATTTGTTGTTTTTCTGAAATGCATATAAAGTACCCAGGACAGCATCCCACAGGTGGCAAGCCTCAATTATTGTTAGCTGTTAATACTAGCATTACTAGCACTTCAATCTCACCAACCAGTTTTTATAGTTCCTGGTTGGATTGTATCAGAATTTGACTTCAATATTGAATCAAATTAACTTATCAAATAAAATATCCCAAGGTATTCTCAGCCCTTCCCTTTTAAGCTGGAAGGATCCTGATTATTTAAAACAAACAAAAAAATTCTCAATCTGTGTGTCCTTGCCACAGATGAGAAGCTGTTGCTGTCATCAGAGCACACGTGTTTACATCACACCTCGTTCTGTGGCAGCTGAGGGCCAATTATGCCTGACCTACAGCTGTGTTGGCACTGGCTTCCATGGGAAGGCTTGGTCATGGTAGGGCCCCCCTTCACTTCCTTGAATTCATTCAAGTGAATTCACTCCTGATAATCCCTGTCCTTCAGTTTACAGAGAACAATCATTAGAATTTGCTATTAAGCCCCTGGAAACGTCCTTCCATTGTCTCCCCATTCTTCCAGTTATGAATTTATGTACTCCATATATCACTTATTTATGTCAACAGCAGTCTCCTTATCAACAGTGGTGCTTATTTGGAGCTGCTCACACCTACACTTTCCAGCATTTTTAACAACAATCTAACTTTAGGNTGGGCCCCAGATTAAGAATGTACAGGACCTTAGAGAAAAAGAGGCAAAAGGCGAATATCCTTTTATCCTGGGTCTCATTTAATTGCCACTGGCAGTGAGATCCCTTAGAAATCTCATAGATTTCTCAGGACACCACCGTGCATTCTGCAGGGCCAGATGATGCAGGGAGCATCTATGAAACTGCCCCATTTCTTAGGGTCCCTGTGGGGCTAGGCAGATGGGAGATTTATAGAGAAGAAGAGCAGCTGGACCCATCCCTAGGCTTCTCAGGGGGAAATCGGGAGGGTAACAGTAAGCCAGCTGAGGCTAAGTCATGTCCCAAGACATGAACGAGAGAACGCTGTCTGCCGTAGCTCCCACCATCTCACACACAGAGCCTCAGCCCCATCCCTGACTCTTCCCATCTCCTTGCAGGCGGCAGCCTCTGCCCCAGGCCCTGCGAGTCACCCCAAGGGGTGGGAGCTAACAGGATTCTACTCTCACTGCCCCAGCAGATAAAGTAGGGAGTGGGGGAAAGGTTGACCCAGGTCACATTGTCAGAGGCTAATGTCACCGGCTCTGGAGCCAGACTGGCTGGGTTTGAATTCATGCTTCCTGTCCCTGGGCTCTGTACCCTAACTTCACTAGCTATAAAATAAAGATGAGCATTGTGCCTAACTCAGAGGGTCAGTGTGAGGATTTTAATTCATCTAATACACTTAAAATAGTAACAGAGTAGCAGCTCAATAAATACTAGCTTTATTTTCACTGTCAGGGAAAATGTATTTGTGGCATTCTATGTCAAATTTTGAGTTCATTTCCCTGAAGCATTGTAGCCTTGCATGGCGGTAACTTCTATGGCACTATTAGCACATCGCTATATGACAGATACTGTAGGAAGGCTTGTAGGCTGACCCAGGAACCTGACATCTATCTGTGGGCATCACTGTTCCCATGAGGAAACACATTCCATGCTTGAAACCTCAGACCCACAAGTTAAATTTCAGAACACCACTCATTCCTAGACTGAGGTCTGTGCCCATTAATTACATTGCTGGGAACAAGATAAGGCAGGAAAGAAAGACTATGGAGCAGCTAGCCACTTACCAAGCATGGTGCAAGATGCTATGACTTTACTATATTATTTAATTGCCACAAATGTTTTGCTAGTAGGGATTACTATGCTTCTCATTTTACAGATTTGGGGTGTTTAATAATGTGCTGAAGATCATACAACCAATCAGAAGCACTATGGGGGTTTGAAGCCCATTCTCTTGGCACTGGTGTTCCCTGTACCACAGTAGCTAACAGAATCTCACCTGGATGCTTTTTCTTATTCACACTGAGTTCTTTTTTTGTTTTGATGTCATCATTTCCCTGTTAAAAAGAAAAAAATCATCATCATCATGGCAAGGTTTTGTAATGCTGTACTTCATAAGGCCTTTTTGGATTTCCAGATAAATTGAAATCATGAATCAAAAATCTGAGCCAGGCATGGTGGGAAAGTGGCAAGAAAAGGCCTCACTGAGGCAACTTTTGTGCACAAACCTGAAGGAGGTGGGAAAGTGAGGGTCCCTGGAGAAAGAACTTTCCAGGCAGAGGGAACAGCACATGCAAAGGCCCTGGGGAAAAAAATATGCCTGGCGTGTGAAGGCAGAGCAAGGAGGCCAGAGTAGCTAAGTGGAACGGGTGAGGGGAGAGGGGCAGGAAGTGAGGTCAGAGAGTATCTCTGGGAAGCAGGTTGTGTGGATCCTAATAGGCTAGGACTTAGCTTTTACTTCAGTGAGATGGGAACCCACTGGAGAGTTCTGAACAGAGAAAAGACATGTTCCATCATAGTTTATATTTTAAAAGGTACAGTCCTGCAGCCATATTGAGAATAGACAAGCAATGAGAGCATCTCAGGAGTTATTGAAATAATATCAGTAAGAGATGAAAGATAATGAAAGTGTGGATCAAAGTAGTAGCCATGGAGATGGTGAGGCGTGTTTGAATTCTGGATATATTTTAAAGATAAAGCCAAAACTAACAAAAAAAGAGCCAATGGTTTAGACATGGATTATGAGAAGAATCAAACATAAAAATAAGTTTTGTGCCTAAGCAGCTAGAGAGATGGTGATACCACTTGCTGAGATAGGAAAGGAGGAGCATGTTTGGTGAGAAAAAAATCAAGAGTTTAATTTGGGACATATTAAGTGGAGGGGCCTATTGGGCACCCAACTGGAGACACCAAGTAGGTAGTTGATACATGAGTGTGGAGTTCAAGGGAGAGATCTGAGATGGAGATATCAATCTGGGAGTCATCAGTGGATAGAGAACATTAAAACTGTGGTCCTAGATAAAAGCATCAAGAAGGAACATAAAGATAGGGAAGAGAAAGTCTAAGGACTACTAATGCCAAGCTGTATGCTTTTTCTTCATCAAAGAGACCATAGGAATGAATGTGTTGAGCTAGAAGAGATCTCCAAGGTGGTTTAGTCCAAGATCTTTATTTTGCAGTTAGGTCATGTAAGCTCCAAAAGATGAAGTGTCTCATCCACGGCCACGGAGATAATGTTGGTAATGTTGAAACAAGAACCCAGGATTTTTTATGCTGTCTATTGCGTTGGGCAGTTTCAGTTGCCTAGCGAGTGATGGATTCTAATAGTGCAGGAAGGAGAAAGGAGAGGTGGTCAAGAGGATAAATAGGACATATGCCAACTCACCCCCAGGAAGCCATCACGGCCCTCAGTGATTATGAAGAAAGAGATGAGCCAGAAAACTGCAACTTTCATCTTTAGCAGCTCCGTCTCCTTTCCCTGGACTGAACGGAAACAGCTGGGTTCACTGTCTGTGACTAGACCAGGGGTGTACCATGCAAGGCTGAAGCAGGAAAACAAGTAATTCAAGCAAAACATTTGAAATGGACACAATGGTAGAGCCTAACTGAGCTGATCACAAGCCCCGAGTGGTTGATTATTTTTCCACCTCCTATATGTAGCCCAAAACAGTCACTTCCACTCCCATCACAAAAGTAGTAAATTTCTTTCTTTACAAACTTACTAGAAAATTCCTCGATAGCTCTTTTCTGGGAGATCAAATTTGTCTAAACACAGACTATTCTAAAATCATGACTTGCTTAACTTTGCAACTAGGTGCATTTAACATCCAGCTTTTAATAGTTCACTGAGGTTTCCCTTTCATCGGTAAAAAACAAGGATTAAAATAACTAAGGACCTAAAAATAATAATAATAAAATGACCAAAGACCCTTAGAACCATTAATATAAGGATAAAATCTGAGCATTGAAGCATAAAAATAATAATGAACCAATCCAGCAAATTTCCTTCTTTATAGATGATGTAACTAGGAAAACTATTCAAATGTATGGTGATCTCAGAATAATTTAGACGAAAGTCAGCACATCATCATGGTCACAAAATTAATCACTTATACCCAGGTTATTTCATGTCAATGAAAAAAATCACAGTAAGTTAGAACTGTGGTGTCCAATATAGTAGCCACTAGGCACATATGGCAATCTAAATTTTAATTTTAACTATTAAAGTATAATGAAGTACATGTCATTATACTTGAAAGTATAATGTATAAAGTAAAATGAAAAATTCAATTCTCAGTCACAGTAGCCACATTTCAACTGCTCAACAGCCACATGTGGCTAGTGGCTACTCTGCTAGGCAGCATAGACACAAAACTCTTCCATAATTTCCAAAAGTTTTATTAGGCATGGACTATTATTATTCCGCCTTAAAAAAAGAAGGAAATCCTGTCATATTCTACGACATGGATGAACCTTGAGGATATTATATTAAGTGACACAAGCCAGTTAAAAAAAGAAATACTGCATGGTTCCAGTTGTACGACGTATCTAAAGTCAAATTCATAGAAACAGAAAGTAGCCTGGGGTTGCCAGGGGCTGGGGGGAGGGGCAATGACGAGTCGTTATTCAATGGCTATGAGTTTTAGTTTTGCCTGATGAAAAAGTTCTAGAAATCTATGACACAACAATGCGAATATACTTAATAGCACCACTGAACTTGCATACTTAAAAGTGATTAAGACGGTACATTTTGTTGTTGTGTGTGTGTGGGTGGGGGGGTGTTTTAGAATTAAAAAATAAGGATTTTACTGGACAGCATTGATAGAACATGACGATCCTTTCACATCTCCATAGGAAAAGATGAAAATCTGTGATTCCCAAACTCAATGAGCCTCCATTCGAATAAGTGCCCTTGATGAGCAGTACAGAAAACACAGAGCTGGGCTCTCCCGTACCTTACTTCCTGCCTGTGCTTAAACTTCATAGAAACCCCGCCATCCTCAGCAGCGCCGCCCCACACCTTGCTCTCTGATCTACAGGAGGAAAGGCGTTAGAGACAGGGTGATGACTACCACAGACATGGCCTGCGTGTCAGCGGAGACCTTTTCCGCGGCTTTCTGGGGAAGTGTGGGAAATAGGCAATGGAACACAGAGCTTTTGCATTTACCTTCTCCCTTTAGGTGAAAGGTCCTCTCATGCCCCCACCTTCCTACTTGCCAAGACCCCTCCTCTATCTAGTGCTTTAACTTTTCTCTGGGCAGCAGCCTGTGCTCCAGATCTCATTCTTCTAGATCTTGCATCCCAGGACTTATCTCCTCTGAGTCTTACTCCCTGTGGCCTGTGCGTGCTGCTTTACAAAAGTGGTGGAGATTTGTCTTTAGGAAAGTATTTTTCAAATATTTTTGACTAGACCCCATAGAAAGAAATATATATTTATACACATACATAATAAAACATGTACATATATAATAATAAAATGTGTGTGTGTGTGTATACATGCCAAAACAATGTATAATGTATACACATTTTAAGAAAGGAAAAACCTGTATTAACTGGGGGTGTCAAAAAATGTATACATATCACTTGTATCATCTTTTGTTATCAGTATATATTTAGTATTACTATTTTAATACAGTTTTTCCCTTTCTTAAACTGTGCATACAATTTTTTGGAGATATATATATATATATATATATATATATATATATATATATATATACTGTTTTGTAAAACAACTTAATTCTTTCTCTGAGACCTGCCATTGTATATTTTCTATTTGTTTTGCTTTCTTTTCTTTTTTATTTATATATTTTTTATAAATTATCACATCCAACTAAACTGATTTCCCAATACCTTCTTGGAGGGCAGCCATATTGCAGAGGGCTCTTTCTAGCCACTTTCCCCTTTTTTCTCTGCTTCTAGGGAAAATTTTTTAATGTGAATTCCTGGGTACTGTTTGCACCATGATCTGCAGTGCTGGCAGTTTCAAAGAGGATAACAGTTTCAGGGCATGTAGGTGTGTTCTGTCTTCTGTCTTCTCCCTTGTGCCAGGGCCTGCTTCCAAATGGGAAGCCTGGCC